GGACGACGCGTCTGTCAAGCAGTAGAATTTTCGATACGTAAAGGTTAACCGTTGAAATTCAGCGGCACAACAGGTTAGGTTCAGTAGTTCCAACAATTGCGCAGCGTATCTGTCCCTTTCTTTCTCTTCCCTTCTTGGTGTGTACTTGATTATGTTCGTTGTTTAGACGCAATATATATTTACAGTTTTTAAATTTGAACTGTCAAATTTATAGTACTGGCACTTAGTTAAACACATCAACACAATGATGATTAATCGTTTAAAGGTACAAAATATAAAATGTATAACGAAAATTCAAGAAAAACTTGAAAAAATACGCGTAATAGATCTGGCTAAGTTGTAGGCACGCCACGAGTAGAACGACGCTAAAACTTGGCCACGAGTCTCCGGAATAAGTATGGAGGGGGAAGAGGAGGTTGTCGATTGGAGGAAGGGATAGAGTTTGTGGGTACGTAGATGGGGTGGGGGGGACGAAGAGAGAACAGAGAGACTATCGTGTTGTGAACAAAGAAGGGCAATGCAACAACTAGAGGGGAACAGAAGGAGAAATATACCGACCGTTTGCCGCGCACAAGAATAAAGAATGACGACGGGAGAGAGAACGACAGTCTTGAACCGATGAAGGTGGTCGACGTGAAGTGGGGGAGTCAAGCCAGCTGGAAACCGGCACTTCGGGTTCTATCGTAAAAATTCGTGCACACTCGAGCCACATCGGTCTATCTCGACTCACCAATGCGCGTCTCCGCGTTCTTATGTCTTGCACGCACGTGCTCCCTCACAAACTTGAGTCGATCGCGTGTGAGTTGAACATTCGCCGTGGCGAAGGGAGAATGCAATACAAGATGCGAGAAAGACAAAGAAAAAGTCATGACAAATAAAAGTACTAAAGAGAGAAGCTACGAAAGGACCTTGCTCACTGTATAACGATGAACCCACAGGCGTTGTGCCTCCAGCGTCATGTCTTTGTCGTTGGCTTCCCTCCAGTTGTTGAAGAAGAAAAGAAAACCATGGGCGCCGAAACGTGCTTTTTTCTCACCCTTGTTGATATCAAGATAAGTATCTATCATCAATGTATGAATATCCACCAAGTTTTATAAAGTTAACTTGATATTATTCTTGATCCGTGCTTCCTTTGTTTCCCTTTCTCATCCCTTCATCCAATTTCATGTCTACAATGTATGTATGTATTAGTAAAAAGAAATCGTTTTAATGGTGAAATACTCTTGCTAAATTGTGTGAAATGTTTTTACGTGATGTAAGTTGCAGGAAATAGCTGCCGACGCTCATGGGCAGTCTCGCCGTTGCATCTGCGAGCTACAATGATTGAAGCGTGCACGTAAACTTGGGGTACCCGGTGGAAGAACAAAGCGACATCGGGTTCTCATTCAGTGTATCGTTGCACATAAAAATTTATATGATACTGAATACGAAAAAAAGCAATAAAAGTGAGGAAGACAGTAAAATAAAATTTACATCACGAATCAAAGTAAGAAAAAATAATTTTAGTTGTTTAAAGAACTTAAAGAATATTACTTTTAGCAAACTTGATCATCTCTTCTTATATTTTCACAGGAGATAAACCAACTGGATCTCGTCTTTTGAAACTTTCTCTAACGAAATCTCAAGACATAAGTTATTGAATTGGCATCTCGCGTGTCTCCTGCCAACTTCCCCAAGCATTTCCGATCCCCGGCTTTTGTTCAGAAAATGCACTAACGTATTCTCTCATCATACTTGTTCTCTACACTAGTGATGTTATCGGCAGGTGTCTACCGATACCTCGAGAAACTGGCAAGTCGCAAACCCACAAAATCGATTGAACGACGAGGGCTTATCACGTCGAATGTCGTGGGGTAATGCCGGGAATGGAAGGTAAACACGAAGAGTTTACGACTGCAAAAAGCGATTTGCTATTCCTCTGTTACTCTCTTGAACTCACGTGACCTTATTTTAGTATAGGCTCAGATGGGGACGAGCTTTCGATTACAATGTATCACCCCATTATATCTTGTGTACTCAGTAACTCCATTTCTTTGCACTTATATCCAACATAATTTACTCAAGACTACACTTTTATTAACAAACTCACCAATAGAGTTAATGTAATATTATACTGCTTTATATTTCTAGACTAGTGTAACAGGGAAAATAAATAACACATGTATAGACCGCAATAATATGGAAATAATTCCATTGCGTGATGTGACTCATTTCAAATCGACCGTCCTACTTTACTACAATGCATTTATATTAGCAACAAACGAGAAAAGCTATATTACACCATTTGCACACACATGTAGACTGGTAATCAATCAAATCATTAAAGTGTGATTGAAGAACTTGATGGCCGTTGGACGACCGTTTACATTACATTTTTCATTTCCTTTTACTCTCACTTGGAAATTGAAAAAAAAAAAAAGAAAGTTTTTTATCGATAAAAAAATTATGTTGATATATGGTAAAAGCACGTGATAAGAATTTGAATGAGTTAGTCAATGACTTATTATGGATTATATTTGCGTGGTATTGATGGTATTCATAGGGTTATTGTGAGAGGTTTTATCTTGACTCGCTTGAACGAGCCAATATTGCACGTGGGACGTTACACACGTGAAGGTCCCCTATATCAAGAGGGTTGTTGACGCGTATATAGTCAGCCTGTAGACGAGGTTATAGCGGCACAGGTTCTCGGTTGATCGAATTTTGCATAGGAAAATTTGCATTGCACACCGCGGATACGTGAGTGCGGGTCAATGCTCGACAGACGTCAAGGGGTGTTTTAGGTAGGTTGGAGCTTCGAAATTATGCGGGGCCAGTATTTTCCACTATCCTCAATCCTGCTCGTCCTATTTACCAAGCATTAGTCATATATTTAGGTGATCAAGAATGAATAGCTCTCTCGGGGCGGAATGACGTTCATCATCATCATCGTCATCATCAGTCATTATCACGAGGAAAAGCATTAAAACTGTTAATGATTTACTTTCATCGTGAATACGTAAAATACAAACATGTTTATATATTATGATACATAAAAAAGGATTATGCGATAATAAAAGATGTAGGGTATATATCATTAAAATGCTACTAAAATCAAAATATTAATCTGTATGCGGATGCTGACATCGTATATCCGCCCCTAGCTTCTTCATCAGCACCAGCATGATATTTTATCGTATATTTTCGTTACCTACTCATGTATATATCCGCAAGGTACTTCATTTGATTTATCAAAAACAATAACTTGACAATGGCATAACATGCAACCTCCCCTTAATGCAAGATCAATATTCAAAATTCTTCTATCAAAAAGTCAGAACCATGAGGTTGAATTGTTACATTATTGCTGACAAACTTGTTTTGATGATTCAATCGATTTTATCAATTTGTCTATTTTACAGTTTAAATGAAAAAAGCTATCTATTGATGCACTTTTACAATGGAGAACGTCGAAATGATTGACATTATTCGATGCAGTGTGATGTGATGACAGTGATTCATATATTTGCGAATATACTGAATTTGATGTAATTAGTGAAATGTTCATTTATCTGATTTATGGTAAAATCATGTACGAAAAAATATTTAAAATTTTATTTTCACAACAGCTATAGTGACAGTGTTATCGTGAAAAAAATAAATTGTGATGATGAATAAATTTTTTTTTTTAAATAAAAAAATAAATTTGTTGAATATAAATATTTAAACTATGCACATAAATAAATGAAATCTTAGAAAATGCATGAATCGAAAATGTGATAAGGGTAACGTTGAATTATTAATATTGTAATATAAAATTTATGACTTCAAAGTTAACTAATAGTAGAAAATTAACAAGTTTCTGTAAACAGAAAAAAATCAATTTGTGATTTAGAATGATTAAAAATGCGTGTGTTAGTATCGTGATTTAATTTACAAAATTAAAAGAATCTGCAATATGATAGATTGAAAATTTTCAAAAACTGTATACATAAGAAGGCATCAAACAAAGTCGCTGATATCTTTAGCCGTTAATTTACAGAGAGAAGCAACTACACCTCATCCATTTTAATTTCGGCGTTACGCTTGCAGCGTCTCGTTGCAGAGGCATTGCAACCACCCCCTTGGGTCTTGCAACTATGAACGTACGGTTAACGCTTGCGGATGCATGGAATTTTTCATTAAATCGCAGCAGGCAAACCATTGCACGTTTTACCATATCTCTCGACTTTCCCGTGTAACAATGCATCAGAGTATATTCTGAGAGGCAATCGGTCTTCTTAAATCTTCATTGTGATAAAGAAAAAAAAGTTTATCTACCAAGCTCTTGATGTGGTTTAAGCCCAGGAATAAACCTAGATGTTCAATAAACAAGCATGAAGTATAAATTTAATCGAAGGAAGAAGATGAATGTATATTGTTGCAAGTTTTCAACTATCGATAATTGTATATGTTCGATTGGATACTAGAGAAATAGAATTAATTTGTGCTATTCGCTACATCTGCCTTTTCACGTGAATTCTACGTGGGGGATCATCATTTCTCTCGATTTTACGAGGTAAATTAAATCCCGAATCTGCCACTCGATGCCAGAGTCGAATCAACAAACTCGGTAGTCGTTTCAGTAATTGCGTTTGAAATTGGTATATCCAAAATCTCATCTGTAAGATCTTTATACATCCATTGACCTTTAATTTATATATTTACTTCGATTGTATAGAATAGTAAAATGTTCCAACTTTTAATTACTTAGTGTTAATTATTTGCTTAATTACAAGCCCCCTGTAATGTATTTACATTTACACTAATTTCAGAACTCTTGATCGGTATAATTGACTTTGGACAATATAACATCGAGATACAAAAGGTATTATTTCATAAATAAGTCACTATTGTCACTGCAGTTGTCACATGATTATATCATTAAATGAGAGGCGTAGTTTAATTAAAGCTTTGCTGCTGTTTGCTTATGGTATCAGCCCCTAGAGCGCGCACATACTGTCGTAATAATTACCCGAAACTCACTATAACAATTGCAAAGACTACAACTAGAAACAGTCGTTAATCGGCGAATGCTCGATCAACTTTGAAATAACCACTGTTCTATTTTTATTGTCTTCGAGTATTCAATCTTTTCATCTGACTATCATGTATCTCAGTTTAAGTCTCTTCTTTTTGTTTATTTTTCCAGTTAAGTCAGAAGTTAATAATCCAATTGTTGAAACTAAATATGGAAAAATTATGGGAAAATGGATGAAAACATTCTGGAATATACCAGTTGCTGCTTATCTTGGAATCCCTTATGCTGAACCACCTATTGGGGAGTTGAGATTTAAGGTAAAATTTCCTTCACTAATAATCACCTAAATATTCTTTTATTTTAATTGCATAATAGTTAATGAATTATTTAAGTTGATTTTACATTTATAAGAGTCCAAAACCATGGCAACAATCATGGAGGATTACACGAAATGCAACAAAAGATGGACCTATTTGTGCTCAACTGAATCGAAATAAAGAATATTTGGGAAATGAAGACTGCCTCTATCTCAACATTTTTGTTCCTGAAGTGAGTTATAAAGAATTCTGATGATAAAATTTCAAGTTACTTCAAAAATATATTTTTCTTAAAGTTACAGATTTATACTTTACTTAAATATTGTCTAAAATACAGATTTTGTTTCATCTTAGAATCTTGAACTTTTTTATTAATTTTAATTGAATTCATTAACCTACTAAAAAGCATGGATTTATAGCAACTTAACATCTAAATGTACCAACGATTGCATCAATCGAAAATTGTTTTTGCTATGAACAATTGCCTTCAATTTAATTTTTATTAACCACTCAATATCTAGGGAGAATATGATGATGGCTTTGAAGATGACATTTTTTTTTCTAAGTATATCACAACAAGTGAAATTATATCCTTGTCTGTAATAACGAATCATAATTTCAAGTCATTTAAAATTATTCCAAGTGCTAAAGAATTTTTTCTCGTTATCATTTAAACAGCATTAAACATTAGAAAACTTCAAAGCAATCTGAGTGCATCAGTTAATCAAATAACTTGACAATGAATACAAATCTGTGTCATAGGCAGTGCTATTTAGTGAATTATAATCTATGGATCTTAAATAGATAAATCATGAATAAACTTTTTGTTTACATAGTAAACGTAATAACTTAACTGTTTTACATGGAATGGGAAAGTTAACTATTTTAGTCGTTATACCAATGAGAGTAACACGATCTCTATTGTTTATGGAGGTCGTATAACAATTAGCGAAAAACAGAGTCGAGGTCATCCGCAGCAAATTGCACGAATAATTTTACGGAGAATCTCGAATGTCATAAGCATATTATGATGCAAGATTTTAACTAATTTATTATCCCACTTTAACACTAAATAATTGAAAAAGCCTAGATACAAAGCAAGATTTAGAACTAAGGTCAAATAATATGCATATAAATGATGATAAATGTTTTTTAATAGATGGCTGAAGGAGAAAAAGTGCCTGTTCTCGTTTTTATACATGGAGGTGCATTTATTCTTGGGAGTAATAATAGTACATTCCTTCAACCGACGTACTTATTAAATCAAAAAGTCATTTTAGTCACACCAAATTATCGACTTGGAATATTAGGTGAGTTTATTTATAACTATTTAATATTTACTATAATGAAGATCAATTTTTTTTTGTCATTTACTTCTAAACCAAGATGTTGATTTTGATTTGTCATATGGTAGGTCAATACTTTCAAGAGCTTGGTAAATAAATATATATAATAATAATTTGAAATATGTCAAGAATTGTATTTATCGTAATTAAATTGTTAGTGCAAAATAAAAAAAAATTTAATACTTTGAAGTAAAAAATCAAACACGTATAATTTAGTTTTTCAGATTAACTCTAACGTAAATTTTATCATTAATGAATGATTAAAGTTAAAGTAAATATGTGTTTAAACACAATAGCTTAGAGCTGAGACATGAGAGTGTCATTATTATTAATGAAAAACTAAATCTAAACATAAACTTTGGAATTTAATATTTAAAAAACAGTTCACATAAAAATAGTCATTTAAAAATAATCAGTCATTATTTTAAAATGTATTTTTTTTTATATACTTGGAAAAAATAATTTTTTTATCGAATTCTCGATTTAAACGACTTATCAAGTATCATGAGGATTTTATAGGGTTTCTTAGCAGTGGTAATCAGGCTTCACCTGGAAATTACGGTCTCAAGGATGTAGTCCAAGCTTTAAAGTGGATACAAGAGAATATCGAAGTCTTTGGTGGTGATCCAAGTTCAGTAACATTGTGCGGACATAGTGCTGGTGCTTCACTTGTTCATCATTTGGCTTTGTCAAAACGTACAGAAGGCCTCTTTGACAAGCTTATCACTCAGTCGGGTACAGCTAATGCACCTTGGGGCATACATTCAAGCTTCAGTGCAAAGATTCGGTATGTTGCACTAGCCATTCAACTCGGATGTTCCACTGACCGAAAAATTATAGACATGGATGACTCATTTGATGAACATCAATATGACAACGTTCTTGAAGATGATATGCGAATTCTTGATTGCTTGTTGGAAAAGAGTCCAAGACAGCTTACAGAACAACTTATGCTGTTTGTAAGTTTTTAAAAGTGCTTTTTTTTAAAAAGTATTTCTACATAGAGTCACAAAGAATAATTTATCTTTTTTCATAAGTAAAAGCAGATGATTTTAAATTCATTCATAACATTTTTATTATTTTAACTAACAATAAATGACTTTATTTTCAAGATTAAGATAACGACCCAGTCATTTTATTTTTTTGCATGGCTTTACTTAGATAAAACTCTAATAAGAATAAAACAACTTGTTTGAATTTTATACACATGACTAAAATGAATATCTATTATATATATTTTTGTAAAAGGTTTTGCTTTTGGCGACAGTATATATTAATTTCGACAAATAATTTTTTTAAATGTAAATACTTCTTACAAAAAAATAAGCATTGTATTTAATGTATTTAAAACTCAAAAATGTGAATCAATTAAGAAATCAACTTATAGCAAGCATGGCAAGATCAACCATACTGCAATTTCGGACCAACGATAGAGCCTGAATCCGAAGATGCGATAGTTACAAAACATCCAATGTCTGTTATTGAAAACGGAGAGTTCCGTGATATTCCTTGGATAAATGGAGTAGTTGCTGACGAAGGATTACTTAAGACGTGGGGTTCGTTTTCATCAATATCAGTATTAAGATAATTTATTTCTAAGGAAGTATGCATATTAAACTAAGATTATTTTTTTTATTATCCAGAATTAATTAACGATGATCATACGTTATTCACTTTATTGAATCGATTCGATGAAGTTGCACCTATATTACTGGAAATGGAAGAAATTTTAGACAATTACGATTTTTTTATTAACAAAATTATGGATTTCTATTTCCCTACTTTTACTGATGATGAAACTAATGACACTTTATCTATTAAAACTAATCTCACTGCGGTATGTATCCAAAAAATATCCATTAATGAATTCGACAAAAAATAAAATTTAATATTTATATTTAAAAATAAAGTCGAAAAATTCATTTTTGTTTTGAATAATAAAATTTGATAACTTTTAAATCAAAGTAAAATGCTTAAATTAAATTTTAAAATATTTTGAATGCAAAAGGTTTTTTGAATTCAAAATCCATTTCATATTTAATATTTTTTTTTAAAACTGTGGGTATTCAAGCAAACCCATTGATCATTCAATAATAACATTTTACAAAATATTAATAGAAATACATATTATTGATTAAGTTATTGTTAAACATATACTAAAATTTACAATTTTGAATCATTGATTTTTATATTATTGATTTATTTTTTATGATAATAGTTATTTTAATGGAATTTGCAGTTAGCAGGTGACGGATTAATAACCTACTGGTCGTATGAAGCAATAAATACCCAAGCTCTAAAAATGCAATCAAATGCATACTTTTACGAATTTGGATATATTGAGTCATACAAGGAGGCATTTTTAAAAGATGGTCCGATATTTGCAGGTTAATTACATAAAAAATACTCACTCCTCTTTGTCTAACTTAAACACAATTCCTGCACAATAAACAAGATCGAAAAGTAAACGTGAGAATACAACAACTGTTGAACAATTCATGCAAAAATATTGTCAAAAAATATACATTTGAATTTTAAAATAATGTGCAAAATTCTAACAAAAACGTTTTAACAAAATATTAGAAAAGGAACTAAAATTTTTATCATGGACAATTGAAACAAATTTAAATTTTTTAAAAAATTCAAAAAGGATTATATCAATATATTTAATCGAACATTGATAAATTATTTGCTTCTGAATATGTAAATATATAAATTCTATTATTTCAATTGAATTAATTAAAAATAATAAAATATTGAAATATTTTTTGTTCAATAAAAAGTATAAACATATATACCAGATATATATACATATATATACAAAAGAAAATAAAAAAAAAGTAAAAAAAAAAAAATCATTTGATCCTATTTCAATTGCGAAATTCTGGATTCCAATAAAACTTGTAAATTGGAAAAATTCAATTGTTATGTGATTTGTTTTAGGTGTTGGCCACGCAGACGAGTTAAATTTTTTGTTTGCAAGCTTTACGTCACCGGATAATCCGCATATTTTATTATCTGATGACGAAGTGATGATCAACATTATGACCGAAATGTGGGCTAATTTCATGAAAACAGGGTAAATTTATACAGATACATTGATTGAGTATCCTCTAAACAAACATTGTACTTAATTCAATGACGTTCTCGTCATTCCATTTTACTTATCGATCAAACGATATCCGAAGATCTCCTTCATTTATTCACAGAATACCAAGCGCCCAACTAACACCAGATTGGGAACCGTATCGAGTGGATTTCCGATTCATGAAGCTCGGCATGGGAAGATCGCCGGATATTTCAATGCAGAAGGACTTCCTACCGATTAGAATGGAGTTCTGGCGAGATCTTATGGGTAATGTGTCCGTATCTAGAGAAATTTCCTTTCCAAATATCAACGAAAAAGAAGAAGATGCTGATCAGCATGAAGAAAATTCAACTGCCAGTAGAAATGTATTGCTACATTTATTTGTAATGTTACCGCTATTTCTTCCAATACCGTTCTTTGTTTAGTCATCGTTTAATCATACCTAACAGAGAATACACAATATCAAAATAATAATTCAATACCTTTGGAAAATTAATACGTTCATTTGCGGTCTGTTTATTGATTTTACTATCCTCTAGTTTTACAATAGTATCATAAATGAATTATTTGAAGAGCACAATATAATGTAAATATTTCTTATTTAAAATATTATTGCTATTTATTTAATGAGTTAAAATAAATGTAAAAACATTCTATTCTGGAAATATGAAAACTCAAAAGCGGAAATTCACGTCTTAAAACATCTTCGCCAACTTCAGTCAAAGTTTATGAACCTCCAACTGTTAATCACGTACTACAATCGTATTATAAACTTTAGTCTCGCTCACCAACTCTGAACGTAACTAAGAGTGAAAAACAAAAAATAGTACCTACCGGCATTTATATAAGTAAGAACAAGATAAAACCATCAAATAAATTGTCGTTTAAAGAGCGAAACTCAGCCTTTTTGAGAAGAATAAAAATTCATTGAAATTAGCCGATACTTTTTCTAGCTTTTTTTCCATCATCATAATGTGTATTGTCATATTCTTTGCTCGCATACTATTGTTATTAGTCCATTCCAACTGAAAGAGATAAAAGAGAAGCTTTGTCGGTGGACTTGATACTGATTGAACGAATAGGACAACATGGGATTTGAGGATTCTCGGTTCTATTTTACTGAAATAGTAATGGCTGGGCAATTTTCAGGCACGACCTGGAAAAAGCGGCAATCGAACGACCGGTATGTTGCTAGTTGAAAAATAAAAAAAGGACAATACAAAGAAAAGGAAAAAAAAATAGAGTCAGTGTTACGTTAGTTGGAAGGCGAGAGAGTGCAGTAAAATGGCCCCTGGAGAGATTATTCGTTTACATTCACGCGCATCGTTGAGTGTTACGCGGTTTCCAACGTAAACGGGCTAACACATTGATTGACAATTTGCATAGACAAATAAGTTGGTTCTGATGAGGTGCGAGTGTATGTTTACGCAGCAGTCGAATAATTGTTTTTACTGAACAATTGAAAGGTCCTTTCTCTTGCCAGTATTATGTTCATCCTATTTTCTCTTTTAGGATTTATATTCAGCTTTTAATTGAATAGAATGAAAGATATATGAAGACTTTGAATGAAAATAATGAAAGTCGTGTAAAAAAAAACAAGCATTTCATCATTCTCGCATCAGCTGTATCAAATTACTCGAGACCGATGAAATTATCATAGGATATAAAAAAATTGAATGATCAGTATGCACAGGCTGACAGATAACGTGATGCATTTCCCGTACTTTAGTGAGATGGAAATCAAGCATCGATTACGGGAGTACGATACGAGGCTTGTACAACAGCATCACATCGTACGATAGTAGTTGCCGGGCGTCACACAATGCGCTAATGCGACATATTGTTCGCAGTTGTAAAAATTGCCCCTCGTTACCGGCTACAATACAAGTCGAGCTTTCATCGCGTCCCTTTCTCAACGACTTTCCTCTATCTGCTGGCATTTCGCTACTCAGTCGACATTTACATCTTAAATAATATACCTCACGTGGTAAACTTCCAAATCTCCCTGCTGCTGAATCAGATGTGGTTCACCATTCAGATCTGCAAATTACTTTTTTTTAATATTTACAATCTATTAAACTATACATTTTCCTTTTTTTCTGTAATACATTTATTTTAAAAAATTTAGAAAAAAATAGATGGTCTGTTGACATGCTATACTATCTTGAATAAAAAAAATTTTTGAATGTATTGTATTACTCATTGGTCGTTTTATTTATTAGAAATAATTTTCATAAATTTTTGTAAAAACTTTAGCCTCTTTGTTTAATATAATTTATTGCATACAACTAGGATTTTTTGAAAATTGTGCCAAAATCTGTGTGTACTCAGGTATCTCGAGTTACAAATTTAGTAAACAAACTATCATTATTCTTTGTTTTTTCATATATTCTATAATTTCCAATGTTTATTCTGTTCTATAAACATAAATAACTTCTTTTAACTTTTGCATAAGCCCTGCAATTTATTACGTTATACCGAAGCCAAGGATATTTAATTCAACGAAACTATGATTTCGAAAAATTCAATACAAATAAGTTTTGAGAATATTTCAACAGTAAACTATAATAATAGAATAACAATAGTTATAATACTTAACATGAAAAAATAAAGTTCACTCATTTGTTCTGAGGCTTATATAATATATCACTACCACCATATCTATAATCTTTTAGTATTTATACGAACATCTGTTTTATTACTTTATGTTATACATCAACACCTAAATTTTTGTATTCCAGTCATTTTTATGGTTAATAAAAACTATTCATTATTTTCTTATCACCAAAATGGGGGATATTATGACACAATATTTCGTGTTAAAAACGAATTAAACAAATTCAATAAGCTTAGGGTTGGAAAAAAATCCTATCTACTATAAAACTCATATATGAAATTAAATTTTCCAACAATTTTCAGTTATAAATAAATTTTATTTGGTAAAATTTATCAAACTATAATCTATTCATATTTACAATAGAGGACGCCTAAATATAATTCATAAAAAAGCTTGTAGAGGTTTTTTATGTTTTTAATCAATTTTTCAAAACAGAAAAAAAATAAATTTTAATATGTATTTCAAGCATCAAATAATGCAATTTTATTACGAATTTAATGTTAATTAAAAAATGCAATATTGTCAAATTTGTCTATTTATTGACTCCTGAAAGCGATGATATGCCACTGAGATACATTGACGACTTGTATACGTTGAGTATTACGATAGCCCCATGGAATTCGATTAATCGAGAAACGAGGCTCTTGGCCTAGAAACCACCAACAACATTCGCGGTATAGGATTCTCCTGGGAGTTTAGGATAAGGGTTACATTATAATACACATATACATATTGAACATCTTCTATACGGATACTTCATGAAATCTCTTGTGACTCGACCCCTATAACAACTATTACCACATTGCTCAACTTATCACAAAAAATTCCTTTTCCAATAATATAACTTTTTTTAAACGTGCTACTGATTCTATGTTTAAAGACCTACTTCACCATTCCTCTTTTATCACCCATTTCTATTCAACTTTATTCGAGGAGAGTAATTTTTAATAACTCGTAAAATTGATTTAAAACGAATATTTTTAGAAAATGTAAGATTGATATAAAAATTTGCTTCAACGCAATATTGATTTAACAAATGAAAATCATATTACGGGTTTTTTCAGCTTACGTTCTCATATTAACACAATCAAAAAAAATAAAAATTCAATGATAAAATACTTTTTTGATCAATTGTAAAAAAAGTCTTTTTTTAGTTCCATAAAACGTTGATTAAAACAATTATTCAATTATTTATTTCTGTTTTATTATTAATTATTATTATTATTTCTTATTAAACCAAAACTAAAAAATTAATATTAAAGTAAATAGAAATCCCTTTTTATTGATAGACGTTCTTTTTTAAAGTATAGATTGGATTTTTATAAGCAACAGAAACTATCTCATAAAATTTCAATTATTGTACTACGATTATTTGCTTATGTATTATCAACGTTTCAAATTAAAATAAGTTTTTTACTTTAACAGCTAATAACATAGTTGCACAAAAAGTTTGTGCGAGGATAAAAAAAATCAATCTAAATCGAAAAATATGGATTTTAAAATCCTAGTTTTAAATTTAATCCAATCGTTCTTTTCAACTCCACGAAAGCTTTTAAAGATAATCAAAATTATTTTATGTTTCATTAATATTTCACATACTGTTAGTAAGTAAAAAAAATAACGAATAAATAAAAGTGAAACAAAAAAGTTTGAGTTTAAAAATTTAAATATTTATGATCTACATACATACATCCTATCGATGTAAAATCTTTCCGAATTTCCATTTTTTTTAAACTTCTATTTTGTAAAATATAAAATTCAACGTTTGATTTTTTATTCGGAATAAATTTTAATCTTCAATCCAGTTGATGAAATTTAATAGAATTAATTCTACACGACATTAATTATATATAAAAAAAGACAAAGAATAATTGGAAACATTGAACTGGTTTTCAATTTGAAGCACTGTGATAGCTCCATGGATAGAGAGAACAATTACACTGATAGAAGATCTAATTTTATATGAATAAATTCATTGGTTTAATGGTAACAATTATAATATCCTACGGAATCTAAATTCATTCATAGCTTAAAAGTCTTTTCAAATACTTTCAATTACTATCAGCTTTCAGACATTTGACATGATTTACTCACTCTATCACTGATAATTTGATCATATTCAATGGTATGCAAATCATTTTACTGTTTTATCGCAGCTATAAAAATATATTTTTCGAACATATTTTTATTTGGGTCTATAAAAGGTTTGAAGAAAAGAAGTTGGAATTCTAACTATAAATATTGAATAAATTGTTCGTTGTTTTTTTTTTCTTGAAGGGTTATAAAAAACTAGAAGAAAAATATAGGTTTTTACCAGCAACATAAATACTATAAAATACTACTATTGATCACTGCAATTGTTTTACTACTCAAAGGGTTATTTTTTGCAAACAGTTTATACATCAAAATAAGTTAGTCTTGTAACTTCTAATTTGATGGAAATTTTTGGAATAAAAAAGTTATTAATATTTCGAGCCTAATAAATTAATCATATCGGAATAAGAATACATTAATTTGTATTTTGTTTGTTATTGATATTTTTCCTGTGATTACTTGAGTATTGTTTTTCCAATCGTTTTCCAATTAATTCGACAACTCCTTTATGAAATATTGAACAAGTACGAGTAGTACTCGTGTGCTAAAGAGTATGAAGCCTATGAATCCAAATTCAAAGGTTCTAGTTCAATTAAAATCAAAATCTACAGGTTTCGATAATCAGCAAAAGTTTTGGTAGACAGATAAATGAACGACTAAGTAATTTATGAAGGGTTTCACTAAACAATGATAGAAAAATTTTTTCGAATAATTTGAAAAGACTTAGAGATTCATGCAGCACAAGGAATGGAGGATA